CGCTGGAGGTATGTGCCCTGCTCGTCTGTGGTTGGTTCTCAAAAAAGATCTCTCTTTTTTTTATGTAATTTGCTTAATGCTGTTTTTTTCCCCTGAAACTTTCATAATTTAGGGAGACTACAACAAACCAAAAATACGTGATTTTTGGTTTTGTATGGAAAAAAATACAGGCAATTAAAAAGATGTAAGACATGGCTGGGCAAATACTGTTGGAGGACTTTTCTTGTGTTTTAATTCTTGCTTTTTCTCTATCTCCAGTACCTTCACCACTTTATTACATTATTTTTTTTCCTGATTTGCAAAAACTTATGGGAAAGATGAGCTCTGAGACCCATTTGGGCTGGGGATGCTTAAGCTCCTTGAGAAGAGCAGCACTGCAGCCTTTCCCTACTGAGTGGCTACCATACAACCTCATCTGGTGAAGTTAGAGCATTAAATATGTTAATAAAGTGTAAAATGAAGTATAGTTCTCCCAAGTGAGCGTTAGCAGCAGTTACGGGCCTGCAGATCGTGTTTGTTTTCCTCTCATCGTTTCCCAGTATCCCAATTGTTAAAATAAACCTCTGCTTTTGATTTGTAGTAGCAACTTTACGGCTTAGGAGCCCGTATCTGAAAGAATGAATTAACTTCTCCTTGCAAAACACTGAAATGAAAACAGAGCAGTGTGTAACTTGGACCCGGCAGCCACCAGCTGCACCTCATCTTGCTAATCTTCAGCCTCCTTTTTTTTCTTTTTTTTTTGGGCCTCTAAGAGTTAAGTTACACAACTCTCTTTATTTTTAAAGTGAGTGGATTCCTTGTTGCGTGGTTGAGAATGATAAATTGATACCACATGTTGCTCCCAGACAAAAAAGACTCTGTGTTGCAGTGGAAGCACTTGCAGCTGGTGTCTGAGTTAATGGACAGGCTCCACAAGGTAAACACAGTTTGGAAGAGGCTGAAGCAGACACGGGCTGGAGGAGCTTGGGGGGGGGGGGGGGGGATTTTGTCTGTCTTAAAGGCTCGAGCATTTGCTGCTTTGGCTCGGCCAGGGCTGTGTGTTGAAATAACGCATGGCCTAAGCTTTTCCGGGAGGCTCGTGTATATGTTTGCACCAAATCAGGTATACGGCGTGATGGAAATGTTTGAGTGTCCTCCCTGGGAGCTTATCCGTCCGCACTCGTACCAAAATACCAAGAGGGATGTGTAATTAGGACATGGTAGCCGATTTCATTTATTTTCCTGAGCAAAAATGTGGCCGATTCCCTTAAGGAGCATTAATAAAAACGGGAGCAGCGGATCAGCGCTGCCCCTGGTCAGCAGTGACTCCCCGTGTGGCCCCGGGTTTTGGAGTAGTAGTGTCACCCCATGTATTGCTGCTTGGACTCCTACGAGGTGCTCAGCTCCGATTTATTGCTAGTCAGTGCTGGTATGCTATCTTGCCACCCCTTGACCTGCTGTTTCACAAAACCAGGCAGGTTTAGATGAAAACCCAAGGGGCGTGAGGTGTATGATGAAGAGAAGAGCCTAGCAAAGGGGGTAGGGAAGATCATCACCCCTCCTGATACCACCATCAAGCTTTCCTCATCCCAAGGGCTGCCTTTGGGAAGCCTCATATCCCACAGACTCAGCATGTCGAGGCAGGATCCCGCTGTCCCCAGCTCTGTCAGGGCTGAGTGCCCACCCTTCCTCCGCCATTTTCCCTGTGGCGCCATTGCTTGGCCTCACAGCGCCTTCTTCTGACGCCTTCCCCTTCAGCTCTGCGTGGGTCTGCTCCACCCCACAATGCTGCTGTCCCCTTCTCCAGATGTCCTGGTCCTCTCCTTCCGTCTCTCCACCTTCCATGCTCAGCTTCTGGCCTCCCCAGCAGCGTCACTCCACCTGCCCATCTCCTCACAGCCTTGCCCCCCACTTGACTGTCAGAGGCACGTAATCCCCCTCACAGACATATGTATTTTAATTTAACGAAAGTGCGCCTTCCTGAGGCGCTGTACCACATCAGCCCTGCCTCGTCTGCTCCTCTCTGCTGGGTCTTCCTCGCCTTCAGGGCCAAAAACTTTTCATCAGGACCACTTCCAGAGGGACTGGGACCCAGCTGGGCCAGGCACAGTGCCGTATGTTCTTCATCTTATCTGCAGGAACCTCAGTCTTCTGGCTCTTGGTAGGGCATGCAGCCTACTTCAAGTCGGGTATAAATAGTAACGCTAATAAAGGGAGGAGCTCGTCATATTTATTTTCTGCTCTGCTCTTGTACAGTCCTTGTGTTGTAGCCTTCAGTGGTATGTGAGCTCTTTCCAAGGTGTCTGCAGCCTGGCTAGCATCTGTCCCGCGGACATATGGTCTCCAGGACAGATTCATGGGCGTTCCTTTCTAGATCTTTTAAAGTTTCTCGTTGCATTTTGGCATGGAAAAATGTGTTTTGTTTCCATCATAGTGGCCTACTCCTTCCCTCAAATAAGCCAGAACAAATTCCCATTAATTGGAGCAGCAGCGGGTTCAAATCGCAAACTGTGTTTTTGTTCCTTCCCCACCTCCTCTGTGGTTTGTCGCAGGATCATACGTTGCTAGTGCACGTGCCTGGGAGCAGAAGTTGTGCCACAACGTTTTCCTATACTTTATGCAGCCATCAACATTCATTGACAATCCTGAAACAGGTAGCAAGCACAATTATTTCCATCCAGGTAGCAGCCTGGTAGCCCAGCGCAGCAGCCTTCACTCGCTGATTTCCGTAGCAAAACTCGCTTGTGAAAGCATAGTAGGGTCCAGCCATAATTTGATTTGGCAGGGCATCCAACACATGGGGAAACCAAGAAACTCAGATACTGTTGTTGAAGAGGTTAGCGGGGGAGGCTACATGAAAGAAGTGGGTTTCAAGGCAGTGTTTGAACAGAGGGTGGAGATGAGGTACACAAAAATAAATTGGCCCATAATTATGCGTAAGAAAACAGTTTTTCTGCAGGAGAAAAGTAAAGAAAAACAGAAGCTGGAGCATAAATGGCATATTGTATAACGTAAAGGAAAACAAACTGCTTGGATTTTTTCATAGCTAACAATTTTCAGTGCAAAAGTATTATTACATTCTGCTATTATTTGTGTGATACCAACACTGAGCGAAAAGATATTATAGGGAGATTACGCATGTGCACATATATCTACACATGCAGGAACCCTCATCCTAAAATGTTCTTCAATTTCACATTTTTACCAACTGACCATTTGGGATTTTTCGTGGTTTTAGACCAGATGTTTTCATACTACACCTACCACCAGCAGAAATTCATGAGAATACCAGAGGTCACACACTGTTAGCTGCTGGCACTTGGGCTGAGTGTTTTCACATTTGAAGCTGTATGGCAGTCTACATATGCCACCTTGGGTGTTTCTTTTCTGCTTTTGGAGAATTTTATCATCTATAGGTATCACTGTGGTGCTTATTCTTGTATCCAGCATTTGTAGGTTGTGTACGTGACAGTGTTTGGTGTGGTGTTCTAGCTCTGGTCATCCTAATCCAGCCACCCGGAGAGATTCCCATGCAGATATTCTCACATGTAGTTGTCACAGGGGATGAATGCAAGAGCTACCTGCGCTGATGCGGTACAATCTGGAATATCAGGAAATATTTTAAAATAGAAATTAAAAATAAAAATATCAACAAAAACAAAACCAGCGGTCTGCAGCCAGTTGAGAGAAACATGAGGAAGTTAGCAGTGGTGCCTAGTTATTAGAAGTTAGAAACAGACTTTTACCAGGCTCAGAATACAGTTAAATATGTTCATCAGCTAAACAATAAGAAACTTTTCCCTCCTTAGACTGAAGAGTTATGGTGCTGCACCTCACTCCAACATATTTTAATGGCATTATAGTTCCTTGGAAGTAGATGAGTTTACAGTTGAAGTGCTGACCCAAACTTGTCTCGAGTGCGTCTGCAAAGCCTGGTCTGCTGTTTTGTGCGAATGGTTTAAAACGGAACAGTTGCTATTTTGAACCGCAGTCAATACGATTTCTCTTTTCATCGCAAACGCGTCTGCTGTCTGCATGTGAGAAGAACTTCAGGCATGTTTTCCATTTCACAATCTGACAAAAACCACAACACTTAGAGGGGGGAGAAGGCATCTTATGCTGAGAAGAATTGTTTAAAAAAAAAAGCTGGGCTGTATTTCTTCATACATCCAGCATGTCTCCAGTTCACATATGTCAAGCATCCATTTATCCTTACGAGGCAAGTGCTGAGATGCTTGTGAATGATTTGCTGATTGATGCGTTCTTTGCACATTTAAACCTGGAATTTTTTCAGTGCTTTGTAAATTAAGGTCATTTATTCTGGGTGGTTTGATCATGCTATCGTCCTGTTGACACTGTGCTTTTAAAGCGTGCTGGTAGAACAAATGTAATTTTATTCTCTTTATAGCTGGTATTTGCTGAAATTTAGGGAAAAGTGCAACTTTTTAAACCTGACCGTCTTTAACATGCAGGAATAGCACAACTGTTTTGTCAAAAGAATATGGCATCACTCCAAAAATCTTTGACTTGCACATGGGGAAAAAAAATCCAGCCCCTTGGAAGCATTCTCAGTTGCCAATACTACTTGCATGTCCTTTCTTGAGCCTTATATTAAGCCCCAAATCAGCAGGATGAGTAGAGCTGGATTTTTTTTCCCAGTTTTTGGGGTGTAAATCAGGTGGTGTTTCACTGGGGCTAACACAGGAGCTGTTTTTTGTGGCATCCTCTACAACACAGGGTAGACGGCTTTGTGCAACTTCATACGGATGAGTAGGATACTATGAGGATACTATAGCGGGGGGGCAGCTGGCCAGCTGCTGTGGTACGGGCGTAATTCTGGTGCCTCTCATGGAGGAAGAAGGCACACCTTGGTCTACCACCCAAGAAACCCACGGTGATGTCCTACAGGGCCCGTTGTTTTTACCGATGTGGTCTTCATGTGATGTTGGTTTTGTGGTGGAGGTTTTGGGGTAGCAAAAGAAGTGCTGGCCTTGACGTTTCCTTTTCTTCCTTTCCCACAGAACTCCATCCGGCACAACTTGTCGCTCCACAGCCGCTTCATCAGGGTGCAGAACGAGGGCACCGGGAAGAGCTCCTGGTGGATGATCAATCCAGATGGCGGAAAAGTGGGCAAGGCGCCACGCAGACGCGCCGTGTCCATGGACAACAGCAACAAGTACACCAAGAGCAGAGGGCGGGCGGCTAAGAAAAAGGCGGCCCTGCAAACGGCCCAGGAGGCAAGCGAGGACAGCCCTTCCCAGCTCTCCAAGTGGCCGGGGAGCCCAACGTCCCGCAGCAGCGATGAGCTGGACGCCTGGACGGATTTTCGCTCCCGGACGAATTCCAACGCCAGTACGATAAGCGGCCGCTTGTCCCCCATTTTGGCAAGCACCGAGCTAGATGATGTTCAAGACGACGACGCTCCGCTTTCTCCCATGCTGTACAGCAGTCCATCGAGCTTGTCCCCCTCGGTAAACAAACCGTGTACCGTGGAGTTGCCTAGGTTGACTGATATGGCCGGGACAATGAATTTGAACGATGGACTGACAGATAACCTCATGGATGATCTCTTGGACAATATAACACTCCCTTCCTCCCAGCAGTCGCCCACGGGAGGGATGATGCAGAGGAGCTCCAGCTTTCCGTATGGTTCCAAAGGTTCGGGGCTGGGTTCCCCCTCAAGTAGTTTCAACAACGCCGTGTTCGGGCCCTCGTCCCTGAACTCCCTCCGCCAGTCGCCCATGCAGACCATTCAGGAGAACAAGCAGGCCACCTTCTCTTCCATGTCCCATTACAACAACCAGACGCTGCAGGATCTGCTCGCCTCGGACGCGCTCAGTCACAGCGATGTCATGATGACGCAGTCCGACCCGCTCATGTCCCAAGCCAGCACAGCTGTGTCCGCCCAAAACTCCCGCAGGAACATCATGCTCCGCAACGACCCCATGATGTCGTTTGCCGCGCAGTCCAGCCAGGGCGGTCTGGTCAATCAGAGCCTGCCCCATCACCAGCACCAGTCTCACAGCTCTCCTCTTAGCGGCAGCCGTGCCTTGTCCAATTCCATCAGTAACATAGGCTTGAGTGACTCGAACAGCTTGGGTTCCTCCAAACATCAGCAGTCACCCGTCAACCAGTCTATGCAAACACTTTCTGACCCGCTCTCAGGCTCCTCTTTGTACTCCTCTAGCGTGAACCTCCCGGTCATGGGACACGAGAAATTCCCGAGTGACTTGGACCTGGATATTTTCAATGGGAGCTTGGAGTGTGACATGGAGTCCATCATCCGCAGTGAACTCATGGATGCAGATGGGCTGGATTTTAACTTTGATTCCCTCATCTCAGCTCAGAACGTTGTCAGTCTGAATGTGGGGAACTTCACTGGTGCTAAACAGGCTTCATCACAGAGTTGGGTACCAGGCTGAAGGATCTTTCAGAACAGGGAAAAATGGGCAAACAGGTCAGTGCCCCGTGGATGTGCTAAAATGCTGGGTTCCGTAGTTTTATTGGAGTCTGCACCAAACACTTAATTGTTAGCGCACACTAATGGCACTAATTGGGCTTGTGATGGCTTGCTATGTTTTGGTATGCAACAGCTACAACCAAGAAAAATTCGGAGGTGTGGAGGGAAATGAGGCTAAGCTATAAAAGCAGCTCAGCTGCTACCGTGTCAGCACGCATCTGATGCTACGTGTCCTTCTTAATTTAGGCATAAGAAATGTTAATGACAAATCAGGCAAACCGAGGCGGAATATTTGTGGGTTCCAGGAATCAGAGAGCCCCAGCTTGCCTGCTTTGAAGTCGCAACAGGTGGATCCATCTCTGCAGCCGATGCTGCACGTAGCCAAGCCGTGTTACACGGGCACGGGGCGAGGGGCTTTGCAGTCAGTGCAGCAATACTGCGGCAGGGGAGGAGGGAGAGTGCCCTTGAAAGATCAGTGCTGGCACTGAGGACCGGGTGTGCGGCACAGATCTGGGCTGAATTAGAGGTGTACTGCTGCTGCGGTACAGCTGCGCTACTGCAATTGTTTGGTTTTAGTCTTTAATGTAATTGCTAACAAAAGAAAAGTGGCAAATCAAGGGATTATATTTTGAAATAACAAAGGTAGGATCCTGGTTGCAGGAACATCCTGTTCTAAGTGCTTTAAATACGCAGAAAAATTGTTGGTCCCTCTCAGGACTTGTGTAGATATTGTTTCCTTTTGGACTCCACCAAGAGAATAGCTCTAGGTTTGGGTTCTGACACCAGTGCTTTTGAAATATTTGCCTCCTCAGATTATTTTTTTCCAGATTTTTGTGGTTTTTCTCAGTGGTTTTTTTCCACATCTGGGGACACCAGAGCCTGTAAATGTTGTTCCTGTCATCCTTTGTGATTCTGCAGGTTGCTGCCCATACCCCTCTGCCTGCTTCCACGTACATACTCCCTGACTCATCGAGTAGGTTCCACACAAAGTGCCCTTTCTCGTTTGTTTATTTATTAGTATAAGAGGGTAGATTTCAGAACACAGTAGGATAAAAGGTTAGCTATAAATTATTGAAAGTATTGTGTTAACTTCAGAACAGTGTGCAGAGCATCCCAACACTGAGGCTAAAAGAGGCATTCACTCGGTTTGCAGCTGACTTCCAACTTTCTTATTTCCTTTCTTACTATCCTGTAGAGGACTCGTGCATGGGATGGCATCGTGGCAAGGACAGGGCACCAGCTGAATTCTGCTTTTATTTCAGCTCCAGTGCTTGATAATATAAGAAAGGAAAGGGGGAGAAAAAGGAAAAGTGGTTCATGAACTGGGAAGCAAAAACTTGCAGCAGGTCGCGCTTGTTGATCAGTTGCCTCTTCCTCCAGGTGCATGAGCTTTTTGGATTTAGAAACCCTCTTTGCCTGAGGTGAAACACCCAAGGGTACATTCTGCTTAAAGCAGAGATGTTATTGACAGCTGTGCTTGACACACTTCCAGTAGGGTGATGTTTTAGCATCATCACTTACTGTGTGTGGGTAGAAGGTGCCGGGGGAGACCCACCAGCAGCACCAGGGAGGCACTCCACCTCGCCAGGGCTCCCAGCTGCCTCTCAACCCTGTCCTGCACCACACAGGGAGAGCAAAATCACCCCATCCTTCCGAGGTTGTGCCCTCAGAGGAGAGGATCCGACACATCTGTGTGCAAGGAGCCTCGTTTCAGAGGACAGATTTATTAAGGAGATGGCTCTCCTCAGTGAATTAACATCTACTCATCTGTGGAAGCCTTTTTCTCTCTCTCTGGCAGCCGCACTGGCTGCTATGGGGTGCCTCCGGTGTCAGGGGTGAGTGCAGGTGATTTCTGCTGTGCCGGTTCACCCCCACAGGTCCTGCTCTGCTGAGCATCACCACTGAAGAGCTGGCCTCTGAGTGAGTGCCTCCCGTTTTGGTAGGAGCATCTCACGTGAAGTCAGGTGTCATCAGCCTGAGTTGTTTTCTCAGCTATTTTTCTGCCTCGCTGTAGCACAGGGACCCCCTGAATTAAAATCTCCTCTCAGCGCTTTTCATGACCCCAATAACAAAGCTTTGTGGGCTTGGAGGCTGGGAAACACTTTCAGCAGAACAGCCTGATGCTTGCTCATGTTAAATCCATTCCACGAAGTGAAGCAGTCACAATGGGCTCCTGGCATACCTCAGAGTGCTGTGATTTCTATGAAAAATAAGGGAAAAGCTGGAGTCAGCTTTCAGGAAGAAAAGAAAGCAGCCAAATACACAGTTCTTTAGCTTATACGTACCCTACGTATAGAACCGAATTCGTTTGGATTTTCCTCCTACAAAAAGGAAAGAAGGAAATCAACGTGTTTTTTTCTGACGTTATTCACACAGCCATGATTTTCCCCTATCCCTGCTTGCTTCCCAAGAGCACTGAATCTGCCCTCCACCCACTCAGGTAATCATCAGGTTGTTTCTTCAGCCCATTTATCAGTACGTGAAGACATCACTATTGCCTAGCCTTTCTCCAGAATGCCTTTTATTTATAACCCAGTGGGTCCTCCCTCGCTCTGCTGGTGTTCCCACCGCTTTGGCTCTTTGCTCTGTGCTCCTTCTCAGCCCAAGGGAGTTGTATTCACCCGAAGAGCAGCCCCAAGCAAACCGATGGGGGCTCTCCCCATCAATTTGGGGCAGAAATGGGGGATATACGGGGAGCTGATGATCAGCAACCGCTCTGGCACCAAAACCCCTTGAAGAAGCTGATTTTCTCTCAGTTATTCCAGCAATCCAGCTTTTGAGAGAGCCCCGCAGCCGGTGATGCTGGCAGGGCTTGGGAAGGGGGTGGAGGGCGGCTTCGTGCAAGTAGGGCAGGAACTTCTTGAGCTGGTTTTGCTGTCTGCAAAACTCATCTAGCTGCATCTTCTGGGAGAGGTTTTAATGTGCCATTTAGCCGGATCCCTCTGGGCGCTGTAACAGAGCTGTGCTGAAGCCACGTTGACTTGTTTGAAAGTGAGAAGCAAAATACTTCACAGAGCAGTTAGAGCCACTCCTCTTACCCGAGCATCGCTGAAGTCCCAAGTCATCTTACTGTAGGAGTGCACGAGTCTCTAAGAGCAGTGTCCTGAATTAATTCGCAGAATCTGATGGTTAACATCACTGATAAATCAAAATCCCAAGAGATGTAATAAAAGGCCTGTTTGTGTTTCATTAGTCTGTATCTGTTAGGACTAGCTGTTGATTTGTTCATTTACATTCGGCCTGTTTCTGGGCAAAATTCATACCAACGACAAACCCGTAGGCCTGAGGATGACTAAAAGACCATCTTAAAAGTTGAAATAGTAAAGAGATCCCTTTGGATGCAGTTTGTCCCCATTGAATCAGAGCACTCTGACTGGACAATGTGCCACGAGGAGGGTGATTGTCATTCTTTTCCACAAACCTTGCTTTCTGCTTGTTAAAGCTGACACGTGGAGGGCAGATCTGGTGGACCCTGGCTGCCTCAGCCCCATGGCTGCGCTCCCTCCTCTCTCCGTTTCCAAAATGAGGTCTTACGGGCAGGGCTGACAGGTTTCCTGTGCGGCTCCCTTGAAGAAATCCAGAGGCAATTCAAGAGGAGCAAATTCTTCTGCTCCATTTCTAACAGGTCGGTGGTTAAGGCGGTGGCGCGCTTTTCGTGTTTCAGCGCTGTTTCAGCCAGCCCGCGTTTTGAGAAGTGGTTTTGCGACCAGCCGAGCGTCATGCGCGCCAAGTTCAGTCTTTGAGCAAAAAATATCCCTGTGGAAAACTTGGTATTTATCTGCAAACAGGGATCCTATTAACTCCAGGGAGGGCCTGCCCCGAGCAGGCTCCCCAGGGGCCTGCCCTATGCCTGTGGGGAAGCTGCAGCCTTTACTGCTGTACTGCTGCCACCTCAGGCACCGCTGGGCCTTGGTCCCTGCTGTGGCGTTGCCGACGGCCACTGTCCCCAGCTCGGCTCCAGAAAGTCCTTGTCACGGCCCCGTGTCGACAGGAAGCAGCAGCAGATGGGGCTGCTCCACTCCAGGCCGGGCCGGCTGAGCCAGGAGGGTGCTCACAGGGCCTCAGCGGGGGTGAAGGGACAGGAACGTGATGGATCCCCTCGCTCCTCCTGGAAGAGCTTGGGCTATTTATTTATTTAAACCTAAGTTTTTGTTTTCGGGTTATTACCCGAGGGGAAGGGTCCCTCAAAACTAGCTCTCTGTCCGCAGGCTCAGCGGTCGGCAGCCGAAGCCCAGATAGTGGTCTGCTCCTGTGGTTTGGGTGTTCTGTTTTTGCGATATATATATCCATATTTCGGTGCCTCATGCTTTGTCATGTGATTCAGCAGCAATAATTAGGCAGAAACTTGCTGTCCCTGCAGATGCCAAGATTACAGGATGACATACTCTCACCAGATGACAGCACAAACTGGTATTTTTAGAACAGCCCGCATCAACTGGTCTCCCCAGTGCTTTCCTCCCCGGATCGGCAGCGCTTGGGTTTCATTAGAGAACGAGTCTTGCAAATGTCTTTTTTCACGTGAATGAGCCGTTATATGAGCGTTTAGAGCTGAGGATCAGCGTTCGTCCCAGGTCATGCTCTTGCCCAATAGCTGGGCTGGTTACAGGTGGTTTGGTTTTTTATTTCTTCCTTTTCATCCGGGCCTTTAAACAGCCCCCTAAAAAGCATATTTTCTTCAAGAAGTGCATAATAAGAGAGGGTTTTTTTTAGAAACACAGCATCATGCAGCTGAGGAAAGGTCAGGATCTTCTTTCATGGCAATTCAGTGCTCAGCCACAGTGATGAACTGACAGGCAGAGAGGCTTGAGTCTTAGCTTCATGACAGCCAAAGGGCACAGGTACGGCGTGGGCAGCAGGAGTGCACGCAGCTGAGCAGTGCTGTGAGTAAATAGCTGGGCTTTTTATCCTGGCCTGAAGAAAGATTGTGAGGGACGGATGCTTGCACAGCCTCCTTCCTGGGCTCCTGGTGCTGGAGGTGGAGAGCGAGAGTCTCCTGC